TAGTGCATGTCCGATAATGTCCTTAGATCAACCTTAAACGTTCTTTTTTTAAAATATGCTACTCACCGGGTCGTCAGCGCTGTTCAATGACGTTCCAAAAAAAGTTTCGTAAAGAAAAAACGTTCCTGTAGTGTTTTATTTAGCATTTTGTAAATCCCATTGAGTTCTGTTGGAATAGTCAATATCCCTCCGCCACCGGAAACAGTAATGGGGCCTGTTTACACTTAGTTGTAGTCTTTTCGCAAGGCCCAAGTGTTTTTGCTTCACTCTGTGTACTCCGACGTCGAGGTGCTAACGTCTCTGTTAAACACTTTAAAAAACTCTGAAAATGGAATATGAAAGGTGGATTCTTGAGGAGGACATATTGGACTTTGAGTTTGACGGTAGAGGATACCGTCGCCAACTAGTGGTCTGGAGTGTGCAACGCTTCAGATTCGAACGGGAAGCGGAAGTTTATAAGCGGTTGTGATGTATCGGAAAAAATAGTTCTGGGATTTACAAAATGCTAAATAAAACAAGACAGGAACGGTTTTTCTTCACGAAACTTTTTTTGGAACGTCATTGAACAGCGCTGACGACCCGGTGAGTAGCATATTTTTAAAAAAGAACGTTTAAGGTTGTTTTAAGGACATTATCGGACATGCACTATGGAAGCCATTCTGAAGCAGCCAGGGGGGGATTCTGCATGAGCCAAATAGCAGAGACAGGACCAATCGTCAAAATTTTGGTGTCGATCATTCGATTTCATCCTGGACACTACAGAAAATGGGCTAAAAGTGTTAAAAACCGGAATTTTCCTTTAATTAAATAGATCAACAAGGAAACATGTTTGCAGGAAACAAAAAGGCTCGTGATGACAGACATGTTCAAACCCTCAGAATGTTTGCCTGGCAATTAAAGCTGGAGCAACATGAATTGGAGCCAAAAACGTGATGCTGTGGTTTTTTCTGTTACAGTCATGTGAGAGGAAAAGCTTAGATGGAGCCTAAATATCGGTAATGTATCGGAAATTAAAAGGTTGCATCAGGACATCCGTAGTTAGATCTCTATACATCTTTCGAGTTTGCCCAAAAGAGAACCCAACAGAGGGATTAAACATGTCAGTGTCTACACACAAATAAGAGTAAATGTTTTGATGATCAGTTCCTGGTTTAATTAAATAGGTCAAAAAGGAAACATGTTATTAGGAAACAAAAAGGCTTCTGATGACAGAAACTATAAAACCCTCAGAATGTTTGCCTGGCAATTAAAGTATGAGCAATATGAATTGGAGCCAAAAACGTGACGCTGTGGTTTTGCTGTTACAGTCATGTGAGGGAAAAAAGCTTAGATGGAGCCCTAAATATCGGTAATGTATCGGAAATTAAAAGGTTGTACCAGAAAGAATAATATCTAGATTTATTTGGGATGGCAAGAGGCCTATGGTGAGATATAAAACTCTCCAGCTACCCAAAGAAATGGGAGGAATGGCGTTACCAAAGTTAAAACAATGCTACCAGGCTTCACAATTAAAATATATTTATTGTTGGTGTAATCCATATTATTACGGTAAATGGAAAGATATAGAAGTTGGATCAGTGGAACAGCCTATTCAAAACTTGCTCGGAGACAAAGATATATATGAAAAAAAAAAAAAATTCATTTAGACTTGATAACTATACATACGTTTAATATCTGGTTTAGAATACTGCGTCTGCATAAAATCCAAAAGCATACAACAAAACTAAAATGGGTAGCGTATGATAGGAAATTTACGCCAGCTAAAATCGACCAAAATTATAGATACTGGACAACTAAGGAAGTTACAGCTTGGTGTGTTCTGGAAAACAATGGGAGGATGGAAAGTTTCAAAACTCTGGCACATAAATACCAATTTGATAAACATGACTTTTTCCAGATATCCCTAGTACAAAAAGGAAATACAAACGAGGCCCTCCGTGGAAGAGAGCGAAGTGGTCCAAATTATAATTAAAGCATACAAAGACAGTAATATTAGAATAATAAAAGCATTATACAAAGCCCTAATAAACATTGATAAACATACAACTAACTATGTAAAGGGAAAATGGGAAAGAGAATTTGAAGATATTGAAGATATTGATTGGCTCAACATGTGGAATCTACACCATACAACTACTGGCTCTCGGACACGGAGGGAACTTACCTTGAAAAATCTGGTATAATATTTTTTATTACGCCCAAGTCCAAAAGTAAACAAATGCACAGGCATCAATAATGTTGGAGAGAGTGCAGGGAGATAGATGTCAACCATTCCCATGTTTTTTGGAAGTGTTCAAAACTTTTGGAGTTCTGGGAAATGGTTTACGGTGTATTATGTGAAGTATTAGGGTATGTAATTCCAATGAAACCTGAAATTTTCTATTTGTGCAATTTTGGTGATGATACTATCCATGAAAAGGATAACTATTTGGTAAAAGTGATGTTGATAGCTGCAAAGAAATGTATAAGAAGGAAATGGGGAAGCCAAACGTGCCATCAAAGGACCAATGGATCACGACAATCGAAGACATATTTCTCATGGAAAGACTTACACACAGACTGAGACTACAAGAATCACAGATGAAAAAAAATGGGAAAAATGGACATTATATAAACAGAAAAACTAAAAAGAAGGTGCTACCCAGACATGTTCACGTTAGTGTGCTTTGTTCCTTTTTATTTGTGTGCTCGTTGTATGATCAAAAAAATAATCAAATATAAGTGACAGAAAAAAAAAGGTTGTATCAGGACATCCGTAGATAGATCTCTACACATCTTTCGAGTTTGCCCAAAAGAGAACCCGACAGAGGGATTAAACATGTCAGTGTCTAGACACAAATAAGAGTAACTGTTTTGATAATCAATTGTTAGTTTAGCTAAATAGGTCAAAAAGGAGACATGTTTGCAGGAAACAAAAAGGCTTCTGATGACAGAAATGTTCAAACCCTCAGAATGTTTGCCTGGCAATTAAAGCTGGAGCAACATGAATTGGAGCCAAAAACGTGATGCTGTGGTTTTTTCTGTTACAGTCCTGTGAGAGGAAAAGCTTAGATGGAGCCTAAATATCGGTAATGTATCGGAAATTAAAAGGTTGTATCAGGACATCCATAGTTAGATCTCTACACATCTTTTGAGTTTGCCCAAAAGAGAACCCAACAGAGGGATTAAACATGTCAGTGTCCACACAGAAATAAGAGTAAATGTTTTGATGATCAATTCTTAGTTTAATTAAATAGGTCAAAAAGGAAACATGTTATTAGGAAACAAAAAGGCTTCTGATGACAAATATTTTCAAAGCCTCAGAATGTTTGCCTGGCAATTAAAGCTGGAGCAACTTGAATTGGAGCCAAAAACATGACACTGTGGTTTCGACGTTACTCTCACATGAGGGGAAAAAGCTTCCTTATATTGATGGTCCGGCTGCACCCACATAAAACATCCACCTTCCTAACCAGACTTCAACCCACAAAATTATTCTTTGAACTTAATGTTTATGCCACAAAATGCCATTGATTTTTTTACATACCATTTGAAAATATATTTATAAAAGGATATGACTCAACTTGTCACCAAGCTAAATTCTCACGGTATTCGTGCATTCACAAAAACGTACGAATCCAGTTTGTACTTAAAGCTTAAAGAATTTGGGACCAAATCTAAACGGGAAGGAAAGGCAAGAAATGCCCTTAAAAGGTTGCATGTCCATTAGGGCCGGGTATTTTCGCCAAAGTCCCGAATCGATTCGATTTTGATTAATACAGTTCTAAATCGATTAATTTCGATTCGATCTGTTTTTACAATAATGAAAGTGGTTCAACTGTGTTTTTTTTAAATACTCATGTAGTTTATTTTTTCCTGTGACATTAACCCTTTTAAGCCCGATCCAAGAATAAAACAAAACAGAAAATTACTTTTTTTGGTTTGAAGTCCTTATTTGCCCTTTTAACAAAATATGTAAAAAGAAAAAACAGAAATACATTTTTGATATTAATAATTTATTACTATGCGATAAGTCAAGATTATTTTTTGTGTAGTCTTCTACTGGCTGTTATCAGGTATATCTGATTGTGTACAATAGGATTCTGAGCAAAGTTTTTACCATTCAATTATGCAAAAGGTGTCAGACGCAAAACATTTCAGAAACCGTATGTATCAAATATGATACATTTGGCATTATAGGGGTTATACACAAAGTGCAAACTTGTAAATCGAACAATTTAAACTTGAGATGCGAACAAAACTGTCTCATGGTGCAAACTTTTTTTGTGAAAAGTGAAAAAGTGAAGCCTCACTCGAGCAAGCAGACGTGACACAGCAGACATGCATGAGCTGCATTATCTTCACTGCAAAACCTATATTTGCAGCGTTGTCTGTAACAGCTAGGGGTGTTTCTGGTCAGCCCCCATTTGTTAATGTCGTCAGTCAACCTGTTGGCTATATTTGCAGCTGTCTGGCTTGAAGTCATCTTGAGTGCATCTTTCCTGCTCATTTAAATGTGAACGTCACACACGTCACTATAAAACTAATCGATCTCATCCCCTAGACATCGATTTTGCAAAAATGTAAAGGAATCGATTAAATTGATTTTTTTTATCCAGCCCTAATGTCCATCGTAGGGTTTTTCTACATTTATTTCTTGTAATTATGATAAAAAATCTTTGTCTAAATTAAAAGAATGGACGAGGCTGCTTTAGTTTCTGCACCCAGACAGAGTTTATCTTTCTTTAAGAGAAACATTTTTGTCCTTCCTTAATTGTAAAAATAAAGTGTCCTGCTTGGCTGATACCAGCTGACATCTCTCAGCACCTCAAGAATCTGGGCTTCAGGCTATATAAGTGATAGAGGAAGTATCATATTTCCAAGAAAGAATGTCATACTATAAACAGAAACAATTTAACAACTTCCTCAATCAGGATTTAGGCAGGGCAGAAAGGTAGCAGTGTGTGTGTGTGTGTGTCTGTGTGGTGGTGATGACAGGAATTAGTCTAAGGGTTACTCACCTGTGCCCTTTTTCTCCTCAGTCTTGGACACCTTAGCATCTTTGCTTTGTTTCTTCTCTTTTCTCTTGTTTTCCTTCTCATCCTCTCCATCACTGTCCTTTTCTTTGAGAGCGGCTGAAAGAGCGGCATAAATGGAATGTACCGTTTACCTCAGACAATTCTTATATCAACAGTCTTTAAGTTCGTTTCAAGGCGAGTCTGACACCTAGTGGTCAAATTGCATATTGGAGGCTGAACCAATTCTCCCACAAATTACTGCATAGCTTAAAGAAATAATGCAAAGCTCTAGAATGCATTTCTTTAAGTGTTTATGTGTATATGCATTTTATTGGACGCTTTTATCCAAAGCGAATTACAAAGCCTATAGCCACATACTGAACCAGAAATTTCAATAAGCATAAAAACATTTGAAAGAAGCTCTAAATGTAAATCTTAAGAAAAATGTATGATTCTGCTCAGAGCCGTTTCTCCTACCGTGGGAGTGGCTGTGGGAATGTCCATGCCCGTGTCCTCCTTTCAGCAGGCGCACAAATTTCTCCACAACCAGGAAGGCGATGATCCCCCCAAGAACCCACAGACCAACAGACATCATGTGTCCGTGGGCAGCTCCTGTGCACAAACATGTTCCAGATCACAAGAGGAAAACAGCAGGTAATCACGCAAAAGAGGAGTAAAAAAGATGCTGGGAATACCGTGAGAGTGACCGTGGTCATGTGACTCTTCACTTCCATGAGACTGTTTATCATCTCCATCTTCATGATGGGAATGAGGCTCTAATTAAGGCACAATAACATGACAACATTTAGACTCTATAAAATAGATGATTATGTAGATTAATGTAGGTTTATATAAACAAAACTGTTCAACAGATACGTGAATCAGTCTTATATTGATGAAAATAGATAAAAAGTTTTCCTTTTATTGCTTGTAAGAAGTAAAGTAATTCTGCATGATCCCACTAAGTGGAACTAATTTAAAAAGTAATATTTCAGTAAAGCGAACAAGAACCTACCAAGAGCGTGTGGTATGAGGTGCAGGAAGGCGTCACCCAGCAGCCCACCGGAAGCGAAGCTCAGCAGCACCTTGAGCAGGTTCTGGTGCTGGTCGCTGTTGGACTGGACTGGGATCAGAAACAGGATAAAGAAAGGAGCGGCGCTGATCAGCAGAGTGGCTCCGATGGCCTGCAGACAATGATGGAAGGAAGTTTACAAATATGCTGTTTTCCTGCAGGAAAGAAAACAACGTCAAAGAGATACTCCCTTAAAAATCACATGGGGGGGTATGGGGGGGCTTTTACGTTCTTTTTTTATTTTAAGAGTTGTTTTCCAGCTTAAAGGGACAATGTGAAACAAATTCTGATTTTAATTAGCAAAACTCAAGCATTGCTTAAATAGATACATATTCTGCACAAGTCTAATATCGTCACATGGAAAATGAAAGCTGTCTCAAGGCTTAGAATTAGTAGTTTAATAGCAACGCTGGTCAGCATAATGTCTTTCACCTGTAACTGAAAATGTTCCGTTGATAGGTAGAGGAGCAATTCTACCTTCAATTATCTGTTCCACTGAGAGGCAAGAGAAGCAAACCACCGAAAGAAAAATAAGTAATAAAGTGGAAGAAATCCGTGCAGCTTTTAACAGGTGGAGACACTTTAAGGCGGAGGATCAAATCAGACACAGAGGTTTCGGGCTTCCTGCTGCACAGGTAAGGTAATGAAATATAAGAGGGAGGTTCAATTAGTTATCCTGCTGGACACGGGACAGGCAGTCCAGCAACTAGTCTGTCACCCCGGCAGAGATGTTTAGTTTATCTTACATTAGACAAGCTCAGTTTCAACCCTTATCAGTTGCTGTTTATTTGCTTTCACACGGATTCTCCATGTCGCATAATTTATTTATGCTGGCTGGGGCTAAAAACAATTAATCTAATTAACTGATTATTCAAATAACTGTCAACTTCTTTATTAATTAACTCTTTATTCTCCCACTCTGCAGAATCTGTTAGTTCAATCTATAATGGTGTGACTTCATCCTAGAGAGAAATATCAGCAGTGCTGCTGCCATCAACACCTTTGTTTATAGATGTTGGAGATCGGCCTGTTTTACCAGTGTTGTCCTGTTTCTCTGACTGTGACTGGCTGAATGTGCTCTCTTTATCCTCTGACATGGGAGTTGGCTCAGTGCTCATCTGACTGGCTGTGTTTCCTGGTTGGGATGCCTTTTTCAGCTGCTTTTTCTATGTCTGCTTCTGTCTCCTTGAACCCCAGCCAGCCTCAGCAGATGGCCACTCACACTGAGGCTGGTTCTGCTGGAGGCTTCTTCCTGTTTAAAGGGAGTTTTTCCTCTCCACTGTCGCTACAAGCATGCTTAGTGTGAGGGATTGCCTTCGAGTCAATGAGTCGATGCAATCAACTGGTTTGTTAGATAGAAATCCTTGAATCAATTAGACTCTATGATCTGGTGAACTGTAAAGTGCCTTGAGATGACTTGTGTTGTGAATTGGCGCTATAGAAATAAACTGAATTGAATTAATTTGTTTAATCGTCAACTGGAGTATAGAGGCTGTAAAACATGCTTTAACTGCTGACAGAATGACCCAATTAGAGCAGTAATTATACCAAGATTGCGAAAATATATGCAAACATTTTGTATTTAAGATGAAAAAAAGTTTTTCGTCTGTCAATATGCTCTATCAGAACACCTCAAGTGGAAATGTTTTAGTTTCACTTGGATTAATTTCATTAAAAATTTTCTTTAAGGAACCTTTTATTATCCGATTATTATTGGTTGATTGGAACGATAATTGAGAGATTAATCAATTTGCAAAATAATCGTTAGTTGCAGCCGTAAAGCTGACTGGAAAAGCTCTGATGCAGCAGTTATCAGCTGCTGCTATTATTAAAACAACTCAGACCAGCTAACCAGCATTGGCTTCTTTCAGTGCTGATTTTAGAGAAATAGTTTAAGTTTTTTTTTGTTTATTTTAGCTGATTTGACAAGGCTGACAAAGATTCAAGCTCCACAGCTTCCGCAGTAGGTCTCACAGACTTCACAGAAAGGCACCAGTTTGTCGTTTTTTAACTATCCAGTACGTCACTAGGTGAAGGTAAATCTTACACACCGTCTCTTTAAGTTTTTATAATTATACCACTGATATTCTCTGAGCGCACCTGAGTCCAGAGCTCCACCAAGTCCCTCTTCTCTCCCACAGCTCCCCTCTTTGCTCCCTCTGCTCCATGGGAGTGACCATGGTCATGTGCGTGTCCATGATCGTGTCCGTGATCGTGCAAATGTGCGTGCCCGTGATCATGTGCATGCCCGTGATCATGAGAGTGATCATGTCCATGATGCTCATCTTCATTCTGAGGTAGGTTGGCCTCGGCGCTCCATTTGCTGGCTCCATGAAACATCTTCTGATGGTCATGTGAGTGCTCATCATCCCCTCCATGCGAGTGGCCATGGTGATGGTGGCCATGCCCATGGTCACCGTGGGAATGGCTGTGAGCCTCTACTAACAGCAGGACAGCAGATGAGGCCAATATTAGTGTCGACAGATGTAAAAAGCCCATATTAGATCCTGTAAGAAAGATGAGAAACAAAATGTTTTTTTTTTGTTGGTTTCTTTTTTATCTCTGAAATTCAAATAACTTTATAAGCTTTGCAGAGTTTGACAAATGAAAAGGTCGAGTAATTCTGGAATAAAATGATTAGGGTTTTCAAGTTAGATTCAAATCTTGATGTGTTGTCAGAGGCCTGAAGGTATAATGCATAAATTCAACAACACAGCATGAGTTATTTATTTGTTCACAGCCAGTGCTTCTGAATTTGTCTTTTTAATTTCTTTCTTTAAAAGCAGTGAACTGTTTAACTTTCTACACTGCGGTTGATGTCATATTAACTACAGTTTGGGGGTTGGATAAGCTATTTTTTTTTACAGAATTCTGCAACTTGGCTCTATGCAAACCAAGCATTATAATATATTTCAACAAATCCCCCAAAACATTTAACATTAGAGGAGTTCTGATCAGATATCAAAATTGCCAAAAACTAATACCTGATCATATCGTCCGGCCTCTAAAACCTCAACTATTTTCATGCTGATAAGAACAGCACTTATGTTTAATAATTCTGCAATTATTGGTTAATTTTACATGGGTCAGTTATTCTCATACCTTTTTTTGTTGACTTTTGTTCTCCGTTTTATTAATATCACTTGGTTAAGCCTTTTCTATTGTAACGGTAGAAGATTGTGGTTAAAAAAAAAATAAAATTTTTTTTTTTTTTTTTCTACATGATGGTTACATTAGAGGACTATGCTTTTATTTTGAAAGGGGTCCGTAAAACCGGAAGTTAGCTTAACACACAACGGTCCGTAAAACCGGAAGTTAGCAAGAAACATTGGAAGAGAAACTGATTAAAGGACCACGGAAAGTCATATAATAGTAAAGTTTAAAGCATCAGTCAATTGGGGAACAAGGTTTGTGTTAATTAGAAAATGTTTAATACAGAAAAGTTACCAATGTAATGAGCTAAGCATGGTGTACTAAATTGTAATTGTAAATTGTTTATATTTGTAGCTCTTACGTTGGTTGGAGGCACGGATGGCTCAAATAAACCTTTCAACCACCAGTTCTGGCCTTTTCTAATTGCACTGGATGCTACATCTAACATACTACAGTAAAGAATAAGTAATAAAAGTATCAATGATTCATGCTAATATTGTATCTTTTTAATATCGATATCAGCCAATTCTTAAAGCTGCAATATCGGAAACGTATTGGTAATTAAAAAGTTGTATTTGGACATTTGTAGTTAAGATCTCTACAAATCTTTCTGGCGCCCCAAAAGGGAAGCTAATACAGGGATTAAAATCTAAGTTTCTACATACACACAAATAACGCAAATTACAGAATGGTCCTTTACTTGGCAGTATAGAACCAATAAGGGTGTGAGATTTGTCCCACATTTTTATTTATGCCAGATTAATGTCTGTCCCATATACATCAGAACTAAATCTAAATATAGAATCTCCATTTTTACATTGACAATTTTTGAATCTATTTTTAGTTCAACACTGTATATTGAATGGGAACGGCAGCTATTCTTCATCTCTTATTACATTAGGCCAAAACTTATGTCACTACTTCACTTCGGTCATTAAGATATAATTGTGATATTGTTATCAACAATATATAAGCCTCCGAAAATGTACCAAGAACCTGCACGATAGGATTCTGTGCAAACTTCTGAATGTTATTAAGCAAAGTCAATGAAACATTAACTTTAGAAAAGACTGGGAAAATAATGCTTTGAGCCACAAGACCGCAGATGAAATGCACATTTAGCCAGGCGATCATCTCCCCTCCTCATATACCTCAGTTTATGAATTTTCACCTCTTCTAGTTTCCTTGTCATCACCTCCTTTGTTTTTATTTTTTTTACTGATTATCTGATAGCTGAGATATTGAATACATTTCTAAAGAAGTTCCTCACTTTAATGAAACACTGACAGCTAGCTGCCCACATGGTGCTAATTACTTTATGTGTTATTCCCTTTTTTTCTGGAATAGTGTAAACCCTTAACCTTATCTAAAGGTATAATGGAGGATTTTCATGAATTTTTGAAAAGACCTGCCCTCTCCACTTAAAAAAAAAAATGCACATGCACAACCCTGTACCCGCTCCCAAGAGGGAACGCTTCTTAAACTTGTGCGAGAGCATGCACAAGCCCGTTCATCCTCGTGCACACTCTGTTTAAAAGTTACTGTTTGAATCGCTCATACATGCTTACTTTCAAAAAGAAGATTTACTATTTTTCCACTATGTCAGACTCAACCCAGGTAACTGGAAACGGGACGAGCACGATGGTATTGCGTAAACACATCACCAGAAAGATTGACAATTAGGTGGACCACTTATTTTGATGATCCACCTGGAAAAAGAACATCCTCCACCATCTACTATACTTATATGTAGACATCAATAGTGTGTATATATATATATATATTTGCTTGAAAAGCCAATTTTTCAGCTCATATAAACATCTAATTTGCTTTATTGTCATTTTATTATAAACAAACACATGCTCAAATCCATGTGATTATATTGAAACTCACATGTCAAACCGACCATCAAAATGAAGCAGATTAGTATTCAGTGTTTTTATAGATGTGCAGTCCTTTTAATTATACATTTAATTAATCAATAACAAACATATTTCAAATTTGAACTTCCAGTTGTATTTAAAGTTCCAATCACAAGGAAGTTATCCAATCTATTTAACATTTTAGACCATAACAAGTAACTGTACAGCTATTTGACTAGTAGTTGGTTACTATATTGCTATAGTGCTGCAGCCATGCAGTAGATCAAACTACATCACTGTGCATTAATTAAGTGGTGCTTTATTGTAGTTTCCTCTTGGTTTTATATATTGGGTATGCAGCTCCCCTTAGATTCACATATGAAAGGTGGCAACATTATGCGTAAAGCATCATCAAAAGGCTTTTCCAATCAGATCAGTTTCCCTTCATGTCTGAAGTTAAACATTTAACACGTTAATTTAAGCTTTAAAATAATTAACAGCAGTAAACGACAAAGCTGTATTTAGTTATCTTTAACACTGATTATCTCGGCAAATAACGACACAATGCTGAATAAAACAGAACGAAGTTCGCATAAAACAAATCCTGACGTTGAAATTAATGGGTTGTCTGCTTGAATCTAGTGTAGCAAACTACGTGTTGTGATTCTTTATTTTCTTTAGGGCTAAAGCAAATAATTGCTTTGATTTCCTGAGAAGGCAAGACACCCATCAACTCGCTAAAACGAGTATAATCCGACCACCAAACAAAGAGCACAGGTTTCTACAGGCTGTTTACAGAGCCTGCACTACAGTTAGCTAGCAATGAGTGGCTGTGCTAGCAACTGTAGCAACATAATCATCGTTACAAACAGCGGAAACACAATAAAAAACAGTCGGCTTAGTCTTACCAAACAGTGTCCGATAACTCGGGCTGTTCTTTCACTAAATAAAGTTGTTCCTGAGAGAGAAAAGTGCTGTTAGTTGGGTCTGCGATGATGCTGCTTGGCAGACGTGGCATTTGCTTTCCTCCTCAAATCTCGCGGGGACACGTTCCGTTTGAACTCGGTTTCCGCCTGTGCTTATTTTAGAGCAGGAATTAGATATATGGTTATATGTTGAAAGGGAAAAACTATACATGCAAATATCAGAGACTACAGTTTACATCAACATAATGTTAAACATCTTGACTCTGAAATAAAAAAGGAAGAAACATATTGCGTGCTCAAGAGAAATATCGCGAGATTAGAATAAACACCAGCTGATGCGAAGCATCCTGGAGGACAGGATATAGTTCCGTTTTGCTGGCTGAAGTTTTGCATCGGATTCAACTTGCATCAGTCAGGGTCTTTGCAGGCACGATGCCATGCCCGGTCATACCATATTGAAATAAGTGGCCATGTTAACGCGTAATTGCGCATGCATAAAAGTGTATTTGTTCTTGTCCCATTTGAGCATCCATACCTATCCATACAGCCTGGATTTTCTATACCGCGCATCTAGGAACATTTGTTAACATTGGGAAATACGGTCAATAAATATCACCGCGATCAACAGACTATTGGAAATTCTTAGAAAAAAAATGATGTGACATTTGGATGAAACAAGAGGAAAATGAACAGTGCAATAAGTAGCTTTACATCAAGTTAGCTCTGTCACTTTCTTTTTGGCTCCTGAAACTTTATTTTTATTAAAACTATGCATAACATATTCACAGCAAATCTCTAAAGAAATGCATATATGAGCAGAAACTTATGAATTAATTCATTGATCTCTGGAGGGGCCTATTGAAGTCCTCCTTTTTTTCTTTATTACAATCCGATTCATGCTCAGTGAAATCAGTTGCGTTTTATGCCTCGCTCATCTTCCTTCCTTAGGGAAATGTATTAACATAGCAACAATAATACATACCGCTAATTTTGTTTTTCTTTACATTTTTGTCTATCCCTGGAAGAAAAAAAATCTATTATATATATTATATAATCCTAATTTTAAAAAAATGAGATGAGATTGCAGGTGCCCCTCCTATCGAGTCACTTTGCGGCTGCACAGTTAGTACAGCATTTACGGTAGCGCTGCTGCACATGGGTGCCCAACACAAACTGCATTCTGTAGATTATGAGGGATTACAATGGCAGCAAATGAAACAGCGCTTAGTTTATATATTTCCGTTAAAATGATTCTCTCTCTGTTAAGTTTGAGAAAGAAAACGAAGGCTACGTTTTAGAAACAAAAATGTTCAATTCAGTTTTGGATTTACAAGGGGACACAAATGAAGCCAAACATTTTTCATTTTTAGTGGAGGTAGAACACTAAATCTACCTTCATAGCAGAAGTGTGTTTGCAAAATAAAAATATTTGATAATGAACGTCAAAGACCGAAGCGTTTCCAAAAGCTGTTGTAATAACAAAGGACACGCCCCCTCCAAGCAAGTTGTTTATGCTTTCGTTGTCCCAGCTGGCTGCCATCGCTACCAGTCTGCTCCCTGTAAAATGCTCTGTCTAAAAAAGATGAAGACTTTCTTTGCCCTGCTTTACTTTTTTCAATTTGCATATTCAGGTAAGACTTTGTTTTAAATAGTTGGTTTTAAATAGTAGCTAGATATTGCAACGAACTGATGGTTTCATTTTCTAAATGAGCCCTTTTCTTTGTTCTTTCATCTCCTTTCCACACTGACAGCTCCAACGCCAGTTTTGTTACTTATAGCCTATTTGTTTTTGTGCTTCTATCCTCTATTATATTTTACTTTTCAGGACTTTAATCTCCTCATATGTCATGATAATGTGCTCAAATTCCTGAGCAACATCTTAAATCACGTGGAGGAAATGTTAAGTATTTTACTATCGCATGTATTTCATAGACAGCTGTATTTAAGCAGGTGTCTCTCTTTTAAAATATTTCTTTCTATTGGTCAGATTTCATATTCCTGTTTTAAACGTGAGGCTCCTCAGTGGTGCAGTGGGTAGCACTGCTGACTTGTAACAAGAAGGTTCTGGGTGCAAATCCCGGCCCAGGGTCTTTATGCATGAAGCGTGCATGTTGTCCCTGAGCATGCTAGGGTTCTCCCTAGGTACTCTGGCTTCCTCCCACAGTCCAAAAACATAGCTGTTAGGTTAATTGGTTTCTCTAAATTGTCCTTAGCTGGGAGTCTGGGTGTGATGGACTGGCGACCTGTCCAGGGTGTACCACACCTGTCTCCCATAGAGATAGGCACCAGCACCCCTTGTGACCCCACTTGGAATAAGCGTGACAGAAAATAGATGGATGTTTCAAATGTAATGTTTTTATTATGTGTGGAAGATCTTCAGCAATAGAATGATTCATACAAATCAAAGCTTTAAAGTATCAGTCTGTTACTGATGAATCCATAGAATGTATCTCATTTAGTGACTTTAATTAGTGAATTTAATTAACTTTTCTGTAATTTGCATTTTTATATAAGGGAAAGTATAGGTACCAATTTAAAACAACTACTAAATATGCTAATTTCTACCCTTCAGTGAAGCATTCCCTGAGATATTTCCTTACTGCTACCTACGGAGTCCCAGGCTTTCCAGAGTTTGTTGGGGCTGCAACAGTTAATGAAATTCAGGTGGGCTATTGCGACAGCAACATCCAGACCGCCAAGCCCAAACAAGACTGGATGATGAAACTGATTGAAAAGGATCCCAACCACCTGGAGTGGTATTCTCGGAAGTGTCTTGGAAGTCAGCATGCATTTAGAAAAAACGTGAATAGCTTGAAGCAACGTTTAAACCTCACTGAAGGTAAGGAGCTTTTTAATAAAGGTGTTTTCTTCATCTATATTGGCTTTAGGTTTCAGTATAAAGTGCTTGCCATATTGCCATATTTCCTGTAAATGATAAAGAATAGTGCAAGGCCTTAAAGGAATAGTACACCCAAAACATGATTAGCCTTCATTTTCTACTCACCCCCATGCTGAACAACACTCTGGAGTACTTTTTATGATATCTCAAATGCATCTGGAGATCTGGGAGGCTTCTTGCTGTCTGCTGACATTCAAATAATGGAGGTCTATGGCGCCCGAGGCAGAAAGGTCCATAAAAGTCCACAAAAAACGTGTCAATATTCCTCCATACTGCTCGTCCAATGTATTCCAGGTGTCCTGAGTGGGTAGAGTCCATAATTTACTCGAAACAAAGTCATTTAGAATGTTTTTAGAGCATAAACAGTAGTGTATAGGATTTCCTAAAAGCGCGTTCATGAGCCTACGGAAACTGCGGCAGACCAAACCAGACGAAAGTGCGCATTCAGCTCGGCAAAGAACTCATGCTCTTCCTCAACACTGAAGTCCTCAGACATTTTTCTTTCGTTGTTTCTTTCTTTGCACAGGTAAACAGCACATTTCTTCTTCTACGCTTGCATTATCGGCAGAGCAGACGCTGAATGCGCACTTTCATCTGGTTTGGTCTGCCGCGTTTTCCGTAGACTCGTGAACTCGCTTTTAGGAAATCCTATACACTACTGTTTATGCTCTAAAAACATTCTAAATGACTTCGTTTCGAGTAAATTATGGACGCTACCCACTCAGGACACTTGGAATACATTGGACGAGCAGTATGGAGGAATATTGACACGTTTTTTTGTGGACTTTTATGGACCTTTCTGCCTCGGGCGCCATAACCTCCATTATTTGAATGTCAGCAGACAGCAAGAAGCCTCCCAGATCTCCAGATGCATTTCAGATATCAAAAAAGTACTCCAGAGTGTTGTTCAGCATGGGGGTGAGTAGAAAATGGAGGCTAATCATGTTTTGGGTGTACTATTCCTTTAATGAGTTTTGAGTTAAAAACATCAACAAATTAGAAAGCAACAACCCACAGATGTCCTATTGCCCTTTTTTTTTTAACAATGTCCTGTTAATCTGTTTTTACCTCATGTTACTTCTAAAACTATAGATTTGAGTTATATTTTCTGTCAAGTGATTCATTCAAAATATTTGGTTTCCAGTTAACTTTGATACGATGGTATCAGTAACAGTTCAGTTTGTTCACATTAAGTGCAGTTGTTTTTGTCTGATGCAATCGTTTATTTGCAGCTACAAGCAAAATAAGAGCGTATAATGAAGCCATTATATTATTACTTTCTGAAAAACTTCCAGACTCTGCAGTCCACTAAGTAATCCATCAGATTTATTTCCAGTACAACTGATTGAATTTACATGTATTTTGTCTTCCAATATGATGCCAACTCTACAGCAGGACCTGTTAAGCCCCTGTCACACCTTGACGTCCCAAAATCTTCTAAAACGTAGGCATACGCTGAACTTTCAATGTAGTTTTTCAATTTTGGTAGTATACCCAGAGTATTCATTATACTTATGTCTTATACTTCTGTCTAAAGACAGCATAACTTATTCCTAACGCACAGCAGCATATTTCCCATGAAATGATGCAGAAGCCAGTGATGTGAGTGGGGCAGCAAATCACCCGGAGGCGCTCAGCCTGCATAAAAAGATGTCTTTGATCTAGCTGCTGTTTACTGCCCGCCAAAAAAAAAAAGAAGAGATAAATAAATACACAGAAGAAGAAAGAGAGAAGGTTTGCAGTCGCAGCAGATTCAGCATCATGTCTGCTAGCAAGTTTGTTGGCCGTGGCCGGGGGCGTGAACGCAGGGAGGATCCATCACACTCACCTTCTGGCTCACCCTATGATGGGGATAAAGTCTGGAGGAGAACGGACGGCTTCCTCCAGTGAACCCTCTTTTATACCAAAACAATGGCAATATGCCATTATACAGTAGCTGTAACTTAGAAACACGTCAGACACGTTGATATGCGTTGGAGATAAGCCCTTGATAAGTTACGCATAAGTTATGCACAAGTTACTCATAGGTTTTAGATAAGCTAGACGCCATGACTTATGAGTAACTGACACTTAACGGATGTCAACCATCAGATAACTTAGCTGGAACTTATGGCCCATAAATGAGCATATGCTGGCATACCTTCTTGCTGTATGTCAACAAGTGCCAGCATGTGTCACTATGCTTCAGAGTACTTCAGCATGCTCATAACTTATACAAAGTTATCCAACTTATCCCAGTTTTTGCCAGATTTTTCGTACATCAGCCTGGCTAAATCGTCAAGGTGTGGCTGGGCCTTTATGAACTCAGAATACACACATAAGAATAAATTACAGATTAGTGACATTGTTTTGGGAACAGCGTATGTAGGATTTTAAAAGCATA